ACGAAGGGAATGAACACGTATACTCTTCAATGTCAAAGTAATACTATCCCAGCGTTTGCAAGTTTAGACTACAGTTATCGGAATAAAAGCAACAACATACTTCACAAAAAGCAATAGTTATTCAATCTTGACGTTTAATATAAGGGGTGTAACCAATAAATGAATGCCCGGTGAGAAGCATCCTATATTAAACATCCATCAAGAATAATGTCTTACAATTTGATGGTACACTGAGACAGTGATCCTTTCAAACTTTCATCCATTGACCCACAAGGCCTTTCAAGATATTAATGTTGACTTTATCTTAATATATCACTTTTACTTTGTTATAACACACATTTCATAAAGCCTTTCCTGCAAATCAGATTTGCGTACATGCACCTTAATCATATGTGAATAACGTTTCATTGGTCAATAATAAGGACTCATTATTTCACTTTTACTCTGTTGTAGTTGCCTATAACATTTCATTGCTACTCTAACAAGTATTTATTCCCCCGGTCCCAATAGCTCTTGTGTTTTTCATAAAGCCTTTCCTTCAAAATAAATTTGAGTACACGCACTTTAATCATACACATGAGTGAGAGTTCACTTTTTCATTCTACATGTCTGAAATCTTCAAATGTTCAATCCGCTTCGAAATGATATATGTGTTCACTTTATTTTAGACTCCTTGAATTGGTAAAACCAACCCTTATGATACCGGTGATGCACGGAGGAAAGTACACTTATATCAAATCTAACAGAAAGCGCACTTGTCAATCTGCATAAATGCAAAAATCAAGGTGTCTCTCAAGTGAATTATTGTAAAAGCATAGCTATTAGCAAAAAATCCACAGTGTTTAACTTTGCTTGCTCAATTGCTTGAACAAGACTCAGTAGTCTGAACATTATAAATAATGTTCCATAACTAACACCTTACATATAGTGGTAACAATTAATTGTTAGTGACCATACTTTTATCGAGATGTAGCATGTGAATACTGAGTGTTAGGTACCTTGTACTCTTCACTGTGAGGTGTAGAGTCCAACCCCCCTATGCTACAGACTTGTAACAGATCTGGTGTGATTTACTTGGCTTTACCCTTTCAGCTTCACTCCCATATAGGTAGTCAGGAACCTGATCTGCCTTTATTTTTGACCCAAAGTGGGACATCAGGGGTAATTATTGAAATTTCATCCAGACTGGGCATTTTGGCCCTGTTTGTGTCAACCAGGGCCAAAACAGGGCCAGGAAATGCGCGTGTGAGTGTTAAATTTGAAATTCAACCCTTATAAATTAAATGAATCACACTACACTTTATTAACAAAATCAATACACTACACAACACCACACTACACTTCATTAACAAAATGAAAACACAACACTACACTATTAATGAAAGTAATTACACTACACTAATAAAACAAATCAAACACACTACACTACACTACACTATTAATGAAAGTAATTACACTACACTAATAAAACAAATCAAACACACTACACTAATAAAACAAATCAAACACGCTACAAAAATGAAAACACTACACAACACTCAAAAATGAAATTCATTAATTCATTACACTACACTAATAAAACAAATCAAACACGCTACACACTTGAAATTCACTACACAACATCATTAAAATGAAAACACTACACAACACTCAAAAATGAAATTCATTACACTACACTAATAAAACAAATCAAACACGCTACACACTTGAAATTCACTACACAACATCATTAAAATAAAAACACTACACAACACTCAAAAATGAAATTCATTACACTACACTAATAAAACACATCAAATACACTACAAACTTGAAATTCACTACACAACATCATTAAAATAAAAACACTACACAACACTCAAAAATGAAATTCATTACACTACACTACTCAAATAAGTCAATTTGACATTTACCACACCACACTATGAAAATAACTACACCTCACTACACTTTTGACCAAAAAAAAAAAAGTTATCAATTTTCCGAAAATTGCAGGATAGTTGCTCCTCATATGCCTGACTCCATATATGTTCACGGTTTATCTGTAGCATCACTGGTACTTGAGTTATTGAGCGCGCAAAAAGCAAATCCCAAGTAAATTTTTTTGTTTTGCTCATAGCTTCAAATCTTGTTTATGAACTTTGAATTTTCAATGTTTTTCTAAACTCTCCACATCATTGTGCATGTTTTCATACCCTACAAGTCTGGTTTATCTTAACTCGTTCTATGTGTAATAAAAAGTCGGTTGTTCATCAATATTTGATGCGTTAAGCGTTTGTGTGTTTTTACAAAGTTAGAGTAGGGATTTGAATTTGATAACAATGTAAAACATATTTGACACCTTTAGACCTTATTCTGATTGTAGTTTCAAGGAATGGTTGTATAAAAAAAGATATTTAACTAAGTTGTTGTCCTATGATGCAAAAAAAACATATACCTGGGGCACCAGAGTATTCACACGTGGTCCCCCACCGCACTACTGACTCGGCCCTACAATGTTTGACTGCGCAGATCGGACGGGATGCGGTAAGTTCATTGTGGTATGGCCCCAGATAACAGTCTTTACTATTTATTGGATTCATAGATATCTTAAAATTCATTATTGCACACTTAGACTATATTATTACACATTTATTAAGAACGCCCTTATAATCATGTTAAGACTTTACCTATTTTACTGTACCCTTATATGGAAAGACTTGTATTTATTCAGACCCTTATATTTAGTCAAACCCTTATATTTAATCAAACCCTTATATTTACCCAAATAATCATGAAGAGACACCCTTATATTATATGAATATATAATTAAATACAATAGTCTAATATTTAATCAAACCCTTATATTTAATTCTATCATCATATGATATAAGAACACACCCTTGTGATTAGTTGTGCGCATTGATACCTTTATATTTCAAAACCAACACCTTATAATGAATTATTAGACCCTTATAATTGATTAATTACACACACTCATATGTGGTACCCTTATATTATAATAACCCTTATAACTAAATG